CATTAATGCCCCACGTTGATGAGAAATGACTGTTGAGCTTCTCCAGAGGAGGAGAAAGGAATGACGCAACACTCAGTTTACACTTCAGAAACATTCTGTTCTCTTCCACCTGCGTGCGTGGCTGGGTCTCCCAGCTCCAAACTTAGAAAACTCAGCATGAAATATTGAAAAACAGATGATATAATAAAAGAGCAGTTTGAAGTCATGGAAAGGACAAGAGAGGCGGAAACAGAAAACATTAAGACATGAAGTATAATCTGTTGAGACGTTCAGGAGAGGGGTTTAGTGTTTGTCTAGTGAACTGGCACAATGTCTCTCTTGTTAGCATGAGAAGTACAGAAGTGGTAGCTTGCACAGACACCATGGTGACCACTGGAATTCTGGGTAGGTCAAACATGAGTTTGGTGAGTAGAACCCACATAAACACTACCGGTTCAAACAGAGGGGGCCTCTAAAACTAAATGAAAGAGGAAGAATGTGCATGACGCCAAGTGCTGCAGTTAAAGGTTTGATCAAAATGTGCATCTAATGAATTCACAAGGCAGAAAGGTGTAATTAGGGTTTTCATGAGTCATGTGGTAACATTTACTTGGAAATAAAGGCTGATTAAACTTTCCTATGAAAAACAACTTTTTTTACACCAACCTGCAACTTACAAAAGTTACTATCTGTATGGTATAGTTATATATCAAACTGTACAGGATGGTCCAGTTTTGGGACACCATGGTGACATGAGGGAGGTGCCAATAAACAAATAAATAAATGCAGGATGCGGTTACAACGATCAAGGAAACACAAACACTTATATTTGTGGGTGTAGGGGCCTGTGTGCTTGTTTTTGCCTGACGGGTCTGACAGGTTTGATTTATTGGTAAAACTTAGCAGCATTTCACAATGTGGCTCTAATATACTCTAGTCGTGCCAAGATCAATTCAATCACAGCGGAAGCGCAATGAAAATGAGTGGCGTCTATTTTGCAGCACACAGCAGTCTGTAAAATTCCTCTATGTCAGACTCAGACTGAATTTGCTGAAGCCTGGTTAGCATTGCATTGATTGACATTCAGGCCAAATTAATTACATTATATGCCAAATTACATATAAAAAAAATGTCACTTCCAGAATAAAAATCCTGATATATGGACTTAAAATGACTGAAACTTACGGACTTCAATCAACCCATTTTTTTGTTATTTTTTGTTATTTTTTATTGAGGGGGTCATTTTTTTTTTAGAAAATGACTAATCGTTTCGCTAGATAAGACCCTTACTCCTCAGCTGGGATTGTGTAGAGCCCTATGAAGCTGCACTGAAACTGCAACCCATTTGTCCCCATTGAAGTCCACTATATGGAGAAAAATCCTGGAATGTTAATTTCTTTATGACTGAAGAAAGAAAGGCATGTTGAGCATCTTGGATGACACAGGGGTGAGTAAATTATAAATACATTTTTATTCTGGAAGTGAACTAATCCTTTAAATTCCATCCATCCATCCAATAAAACTTCAAACTTTTAAACTGTTTTTAAAACTTTCCAACAAGTTTGTCTTTTTTGCTCTTCTAGTTGAAAATGACCATAATATATATTTATTTGAATTTCAATTCATTTGAATTCTACTTCAATTTAAATTCAAAATTGGCATCCTGTTTGCTTAAATTGCTCTAATGGTACTGTAGAAATATTTCTTATATTTCCTTTTATAGCATTTTTTAATGAACCACGCTAAATTGACATGTTAATTTGACAGCGCTAAAAAAACAACCTTGATATGTTCAAATCAGTGTCACATGGAACAGCATGTATAGGTTTTGATGTGTTGCTTTGATTGTAGGGTTAAAAATACAACAGCTCTAAGTAAGTAAACAAGAGACATTCCTTCCTCTCATGTTACAGTGTGCCACCTGAGAAGCTACGTGATGTATGCGGCTGGATATGGATGGACTGTTTCCACTTGATGCACGTTTTGGAAGCCTTCCATGGTTGACACATAGTGCAGGTCTCTGCTGCTTCAAACATGCCTGATCACCTCCAACCACAAAGAATCAAACACCACACAACGCTTGAGCACCATACCGTTTGCATGCTATATATTACAGTGAGGATAAGTCATTTCAATTTTAGGCTAGGGTAATAAAAACAAGAAGTATTACAGGTACATAAACCAGTAGGGATAAACACAATGGACTGATGTCTGTAACTCATAAATAGCAGTGGTGGACCAGTCAACAACCAAGAGGTTCTTTCTGTACCTTCTGTAGATGTATTTCCCAGCTTTACCAGGAGAGAATGGCTGGATAAGCACAGAGCTCTAGTGTAAACCGCTTATAGGTGTCTTTTTAAATAGCTTTCTAATGCGCTTTAAGCACTGCAGCATAGTGTGTATCAAAGAGAGGAGCAAAAGAAGAGAGGCTGAGCAGATGTAGCTTTTCTTCCTCAAACCCTGATCCTTCTTGATAGGCACATAATGAGAAGCAGACCAGCATTTACACTGTAACCCACGCACATACACACACATCCCCATTCATTATTCACGCCAGATTAGCTCTTTATTAGAATGGAGGGAAGGTGGAAACCAGCAAAGGGAGAAGAATGTTTGTGCCACTTTGACGGCCCTTTGGTCAAAGGTGTGCCGTTCTGCAGAACGTAGTCTGTTTTGCATCACTGTACAGGTTTAGAGATCAGAGGCTTTTCACCAGTGGGTAGGAGTCCGCAGTGTGACCACAACAGTTTCCTGAATTTAACTCAACTAGTGCTGCACACACTGAACATTTCATTGGCAGTAATTGGAACCATTTAAACAGTACAGAATCATTTGTTTATTATAAGTGTCGCCAAATATAGAATCTACTGCAAAAAAACTGATTCGCTAAGAATAAACTGCACTTTCTGATAGCTGTGTTTATTTGGATACACTGTCTGCATATTTTCAGTTCACTAAGAAATTGTGCAAATCAGGCAATGTTCATGAATATCCGCTAAACGCAAGTTAAAATTTTTTTTGTGCAAATTTACAGATTACACATTTCATTTAGCAGCTAGTTAAACTTGACCATGATTGGTTTGTAAAAAAGACGCAAGATTATGTTTATGTTTAGTGAATTCAGTCCTGAATACTTTGTGTTCATTCAGGTTTACCTGCATGAAATTCGTCATTAAGGTGAGTGACAGCGTATACAGAGACACAGACACACCGGAACACACTCAAACAGAGAGAATTAGCAGGATTCCTTTTTGCATTAGACAGGCAGAAGAGAAACACCAGTGAAAAGAACAGCTGCATTCTTTCTTACAATACAGCATGATCCTGGGGACAACACAAGAACAAACAGCAAAAGACAGGAGGAACAAAGTGCTACAAGAAAATGTTAGCCAGTAGAAAGAACTGACGAATGACAAATGAGACAAAAAGTATTGAGAAGAGACAAGATGAGAGTACTAAGGACACAAGAGATGATACAAAACAAGACCAGAAGAAAAGTGAAGAGATTCAGCGAGAAGAGATTTAAATAAAGGCAAAGAAAAGAGATGAGAAGACAATTAAAGAGACAAGATGAGACCATAAGAAAACGAAAAGATGAAATGAGACAAGACATAATGAGAAGTAAAGAGAAGAGATGAGAACAGAACAGAAGACAATTAAAGAGATGAGACAACGAGAAGGATAAAATGTGACAAAAAAGAGGGGAAGAGAAAGGACGAGTCAAGATGAGAAGACAAGACAAAATGTGAAGATTAGACAAAACGAGAAAGGAAGAGAAGAGAATACGAGCAGAGAAAAGAAGAAGAGAAGAGAAAACAAGACCAAATGAGAAAGAAGGAAAGACAAGGCAAAACAAGAAGAGAAGAGATTAGACAAAATGAGAAGAAAGGACACAATGAGACGAAAAGACACAAGATGAGTCAAGATGACAAGACAAGACAAAATGAGAAGGGTCAAGAGAAGAGAAGAGAAGAGAAGAGAAGAGAAGAGAAGAGATGTTCCTATGGTTGGCAGGAGAACAAGACCTCCATGCAGGTAGACCCTCAAAAGAGGCAGTCGACATGTTTAGGCAGGTTTAGCAGGTTTAGTATAACCCCATCACATCCTGAGCCAGTTTAAATGAAGGTGAGAAGTAAATGTGGAAAGGATGCGCAGGTGGGTATGAATATAGGTTGACATAAGCTCTTTGTCCAACATGATGAAGACACATAGGACAAACACAGCAAGCCCATGACTTGAAGGATTTGTGGACTTGGAAACAACAAATAAATAGTCTCATTTACACTTCAAACTACACAACATGCCATTGTATGTATTAAATTAGAAACAACTGTGTCGCACGCCACTGCTTTAACAAAAACCGCGCTAGTGTCTTAAAAGGCGTCAACATTCTCTATCACAAAAGACTTGTACCTTAGTGATGAAAACCATCATCTAACACGATCAATAGTACCATTGTAACTTAATAAAGCCATAGTGCACTATGTTTACAGACTCATTGTGCCTCTTCTCTTCACAATTCACCGAAGCCTTCAAAAACATGAATGGACGCACCCAAAATCGCCTGCGATTCACGCGAGAGGAAGTGGTTTGTCTTTAACATGACAGATGTTATGTTAGAGATGCAGCTAAGCAATCATTATGAGCGAGAGGGGACGTATTATGCTGTTGAAGAATAGTGAGACCACTCAGAAGTTTATAATAGATGCTTTGTTGTTCTTCGATGACTGACGTGGAGATGCATGTGTATGTTGCACATTATGTTCGCAGTGGCACAGTGGTTTTGTAAATGCGATAATCCACCTCCATACAAACACGCCGGAGGCCAGCATGAACCAATCAGCCTTTGGTATCTGCTTTCTGTTTATCAACACTTCAGCAAGTGTTACTGTCTGTGGGAGATGACAGGGTCTTCAGCCCGTAGCTCCCTCAGAGCTCTTAAGTCAACTCCAAACCAGCCTTCATTTATAGTCTCGTACCTTTCTTGTACATGTTGTACATGTGTGTTTCTGTGCACTTACTGTAAGAGAAACTGAGGCGAGGGGTGACGTCGTCTTCTGCTGCTTGACCCCATCCAACCAGAAGGACATGGAGGAGAAATAGGATCGAGACACGTGTCATGTTTAGTATCCACATTTTGCTCCTTGTTTCTCAATGTGTTTCCTCTCTGGATTTTCTGGCGCTCATGAAGATCTTTTCCCTTGCTCGTTTATTTTTCTTCTTCTCCTCAAACTCCTGAAAAGGAGAACCGTTTACTGATGGGACGACCGTTGTTCACCTTCATAGGGTCTCACAATGGTGGATTTCCACCAAGAAACAAGTCCTCAAGGGCGGTGGTAAAGCCCAAATCAGTCTCCATGTGCTTGTGTAGATTCCCACACAGGCTTTTCAAAAAATCTGCAACAAACAAGACACAAGAATAGCCACATTAAGTTTTTTGCAATCTTAGTAGTCTACAGAAATAGACTGATATACTTGCTTAGTTAGGACTGACCCTGCTTGTCTTAGTTGGTTTAAGCTAGCCAAAGCTAGTTTAGCTGGGAGGCTGAAAGGCAAAAAGTGCCCCAAACCCCTAACAAAAATCATAGACTTAATTAAGACCATGTGTATAGAGTTCATTTCACAAGCATTTATCTATTTCTAAATTAAGCAAACATCCTCTTCACGCTACGCTAAACCCCACAATACAGTGTGAGCGAGTCGCTTTAGGTCATGCTTGATAGCACCAGGAGATGTGGGAGCTCAAACCAGAAGTCTTCTACCTGTACGGCCAACTCTCCATGTGGGGTTATATTGCTATAAATCATCAGTGAAGATTTGCATTGTGCCAAGAATTACCGCATGAATGAGAATATGTAGCCCTAAGGGACACAAATTACACAATATTTACTCACTGCTCAGCAGGGCTCTATGTCTGTGTTTAATCAGCGCTAATCACTAAGGTGAGCAAGTTTTGTAGAAAAGTGCCCTTTTTGAAAGACCACCACTGCTAGTCAGCGGAATATCTATATTATGTAGTGTTTTGGATGCCATTCTTCAGTCAGCGAATTTCACAAAAAAAGATCATTCTGGTGCACTTGTATTTGTTGGTGAACAACAAAAACTAGGGTGCGTCTCAATCAGCTCCCTAGCTCCCGAGCTCGTGGATCAGTAGATTGTGTACACGAATTCAGGCACTGGTAAGTTCCCTGACTCACTGCACGTTGGGACAGTGATCACTCGAATTCCAGTGACATGATTACGTACAACGTCAACGGACAACATAGTAGAACGTCATCACTGGAATTAATAAACAACAGACAGGACCGATCACTTTTTGATATTTATTTTTTATTCTCTTTAAACACATCGTTCTGGTACAAGTTCTTACATTTCAAGAACATTTCAGCTGAATATTAATTATAAATGTTAATTAGATGTGTTCAATTCCTGTCTAGTGATGTGTGTTTATGTTGAAATATACTAAAAAAACAGTTTGTCTTTTCAAATCTTCTATCGCGAGTCATTATATTTATCGAGTTGGCTCGTGTGGTTCATGTTTCGCGCTTCCAAAATGTGACGTTATTTCCGGTAAGGGAGCATAGTGAGCGCCTATGCTCCCTAGTTTTTACAGTGCATTGTGGGATTTTTCAGGGAGCAAACATTCCAGTGCACTGGAAGGATTTCGCAATTGAGACAGCCCTTAAAATGGCCGACTCCCTGATCAGTGCCCTTACTACTGAACAAGGGAGCTGATTGAGACGCACCCCTAGTCTGAAACAAAATGGAGATATCTACTGGCGTAAGCCGGTCTTCTCAGTAGGGTGTAAGGATGATAAGGCAATAAATGAGCACTTCCTGGAAGTGGTGGTATCATTTATGAGACAATGGAAAGTGATTAATTCTCTGTTTACATGTTAGCTTACAAAGTTCGGAGAAGAGATGACCCCACTTTACCATAATCACCCACACTGATCATCATTCATCTGTTCCATTCCATAAAGCACCATTCTGAGAACGGATATTCAAGGTAATGCCATAAAATGTATGATTTCCAGCCTCCTGCTTAGTCAACCTCATTTGCTTCCATTTAGATAAGCAAGGTAAAGTCATACATGGAGTTTGACTTCCAGGCAAATGAAATGGACTGTAAATAAGTTGAATAGCTTTGCACTTGATTTGTGATCTACAGCACAGAACCCAACCCTGTCATCAACCCAATATGTCAGCGGGCTAACACTTAAGTGGTTTCCATTACTCTGGCTATATAGACGAGCCTTTTAAGCACAACCACAAAGCTAATCCAATTGCAATTCCCATTTAGGTTTAAGATTTAATATCAACGTCAATGTGTATATTTTATTTTTATGAACTGCCAACAGTAAAGGGCTAACAAATAGGGTGTGGTTAAATTCAGAGTTGGAGGAAGAAAAAAAAAGTAGTCTGGCTTTCGCTAGGCATCTGAATGTAACATATAACACTCCACAAGTATGTAAAATTTTAAAAAGTGAGTAATTACTGAGTTTTAATTAGGTGTAACGGGTGGCCTGTGGATGCCATAACGCTTTTGGAGATCATCATATTTATTTGCGCTTTACCTCAAAAAGCCTCAAAATCGAGCCAACGCTGTAATTTGGCATCAAGCTCAAGCTCTAAGAGTGATACTGCAGGCCACTTTACTGTACAACTGCCAAAACAGCAAGGATGCTTTGCTCTAATATAGACAACATGAGAGCACTAGCTGACAGTCGTCCCTTAATAAAAAGAAGACAGAAGCAAGGCAACTTTTCCATCTGGAGCACGACAGACCTTGGACTCCCACTGGGAAGATTCACGTCCCAAATGGGAAAACTGCTGCTTGTTTAAACAGCATCTCATAAATTGTATTGGCACAGCATGAGGAGATAAACTGATTACAAGGCAATGCGGTTTAGATTTCCACAAATGATCTTCTGAAGAACTGTTGAATCATTGATGATTGTGGTTTATCAACATCAGACAAGGCCTAATGGCACAAAACAGTATACATTATGTCTAAGCTTGTTTAAGCTGTGTATACCTATGAACAACATATGGCACATATCAAACAAAGTAGCATAAAAGGACAGCAAGTTTAACCTGAACTACTGTATATCTTCACTTACAGAAAATATAGAACCTTGAAGGACATTCTATGTATAGTCTGGTGATAATACATCAGCAACCACCACAAAAAACTCAATTCCCATTAGAAGAGTTCGCAAACTTCATTGTTTGCTGTATTTGGCATTTGCTACACTGTTTTATCACCAACAGCTATAGAATCTCAGCTCAAGCAAGAGATACATTCACAAGGTCAAACTCCTCCTGCTACTGTCCATATGCTGGGGTTGGAATGTGTCCTGCACTGGTCAAGGCTGTGGCTTCAGCCATATTGGTGCGGGAGACTCGCTTACAAAGCACCATTAGCCTTCCTTGCACTGGGAACTTTGGAGTGACATCCCAGTTGACCAATGGCAATGTGATCTCATTAATTTCAAGTTTTGACAGGAAAAGGATAAATGCTGCTGAGGCACGTGAGGAGCTGAAGTAGGACGCTGAAGGTCTCTCTCAAAAAGATATAATACACATTTCCCTTTCTTTCTGTTGGATTAATGCAGGAGCCATAAATCATCTCACTACTGGTCCTCAAAGGTGTTTATTGTGATGAATGATCAAATACTAACTACAATTCCCCAAATCCTAAAAGCAACGACCCCAATGAATGAGGATGATGTTTAAACGTTAATCATTCAGTTAAAATAATGGAAAAACTGGTCTCATTTGGACTGAATTAATATATTTGTTTGGTAGTTTTTACGATTTTTAAGATCTATGTTTTTTTTGTTGTTTTTTTCTCTGGTGGTCGATCACTGTTAGCAAGAAAAAACATTACTGATACAGCATGACTTTAATATGATTTGTAACATGAAAACAAATGTAATTTAGAGACATTTGGAGGGTATTTCTTGGAAGGATCTGGGGACGAAGTGTCCTTTAAATAATTTTTCTTCCCAGACATATAAAACTAGTGTGCAAATAATACTGAACTCCTGAAGGAAAAAAGGGGAAATGGTTTGCATTATCATAAAGTAGGAAACTTTCATCCACAGACCACACAAATAATTAAAATGATGGCATGTGTTAACAAGTACATAAATAATCTCTATTCAATCAACGCCCAGTCAATAATTCTGTGTTCTTCCAGTTTGTGAGCCATATGATGGCATCAAATGTCACTTCCATCTTTCATAAAAATAGAAATAGTTTACTACAGAAACAGCTGTCCAGATTATCTGGTTTTTCAGATGAGATAAAATTATCCTGAAGCAAAGCCAGAGACTAATGCTTTTCTTTAGATAAGCGTGCAATAGTATCTTCCGCTTCTGGGGGGAAAATAAATTACAAAATAAAATAAATAAAACAAAATAAAATACAGTTAAAATAAAAATCACCCAAATGATTTATTGTTAACTAAAACTATTAAAATTTTTAACTAATTAAATAATCAGAAAAAAAAAAAAATGTGATAAATAATAGAAAAAATAAAAAAAATAAAAATTTAACAAAAATTTAAAAATAGTTTTGGCAACTAACTGAAAAAAGTTGAGGTACAAATACTAAAATTAAAACCGAAATAAATATAAATTAAAAATAAATATAAAAATAAACAAATAAAAATGACTAAACTTAAAAGAATGAAAACTGGAAAATATAAAATTAAAAACCTATCATAATATTATATATACACTACCATTCAAAAGTTTGGGATCATTAAGATTTTTTATATTTTTTACCGAAGTCTCTTGTGCTCATCAAGGCTGTATTTATTTGATAAAAAATACAGAACATTTTTATTGTTATTTTGTGAAATATTATTGCAATTAATATACTTTAAAATATAATTTATTCCTGTGACGCAACGCTGAATTTTCAGCATCATTACTCCAGTCTTCAGTGTCATTTTTATTGTTATTTTGTGAAATATTATTGCAATTAATATACTTTAAAATATAATTTATTCCTGTGATGCAACGCTGAATTTTCAGCATCATTACTCCAGTCTTCAGTGTCACATGATCCTTCAGAAATCATTCGAATATGCTGATTTATTATCAATGTTGGAAACAGTTGTGCTGCTTCATGTTTTTTTGGAACCTGTGACATTTGTTTCAGGATTCTTTTATGAATATATAAAAAAAACAAAAAAAAACAAAAAAAAAACAGCATTTATTCAAAATGGAAATATTGTGTTACAATATACACTACCATTCAAAAGTTTGGAGTCAGTCATTTTCTTTTCTTTTTTTTGAAAGTAATTAATACTTTTATTCAGCAAGGATGTGTTAAATGGATAAAAA